CTGGCGGCGGAGCCTCATTGGCCGATGCTGCCTGACTTCTCCGAGGCTGGCTCAGAAGGGCAGCCGCGGGAAAGACCCAGGAGAACCCTAAATCGCACCTGGACTTGCGCCTGAGCCTGAGCCCCGGCCGGAGCCTAAGCCCGCTGCAGGTAGCTGACGCCCGTGTTCTCTCGCGCCGGGCCTCGCAGCCCTTGTGTCTCTGCGTGGCTGGCTTTCGTCTCCCGCGGTAAAGGCAGGACCCCCTCCACGCGTCCTTTCCCTCCTTATTCTCATCCATCTTTGGGGGCGCCTGATGGGCCGGGAGGACGCAGACCTCCCAAACCTTTCTTAGAAATCTTAGCTCGATTCCTTCATCCCTGCCTGCGTGGTCCTGTGTCGTGACGATAGTGCAGAGGCTGGGACAGGCGCTCCTTTTGCCAAGGTGTCCCGACTGTAGAACAGGTCCAGGCCTCCGCTCAGTGGGGCACTGGTAGCCCGTGGGCTGTCAAAAGACATCCATTATTCGGGATTCTAGGCCTTTGGGAATTTAAGGATGAGACTCCTGTACTTTCTTGTGGTGAGTCCCTGAATCTCTCTGGCTCTTAACTTTCTTCAGAGTGGTCATTGACATCTGTTCTAATCACCTGGGAATTGCAGGGAGGCCGGGTGAATTTATAGTGAGAAGATAAACTGCAAACTGTAAAGTGGGGTACCTGTGACTAGTGATTTTCCTATCTGCAAAGTGGAGACAGTGGTGTGGCTCCACTGAGGCTCCAGAGTGGCCACTGCCTTGGTGTGGCCTAAGAGCAGTTTGCCACTCTGCCTGTGACCAGCCTCCTGCCTGCCTAGCTCCTCTAACCACACTTTCCTACACCTCCCCTTGGGATCAGGCCTCTTGGTTGCAGGGTTGCAGGCCCAGCAGGGAACCTGGGTGTCCCTGACAGGTCCAGGTGTCGTGGCTCAGGTGTCCAAGGAGAGGGCTTTTTCCTGGTCAGCATTGATTACTGTGGGACCTGGCTGGAGCCCTGCTCTTCTGAATGAGTTCTTTGTTCCTTTCTCAGCTCAATGGGGAGGGCACAAAGTGCTGGGGGCACAGCAGGAGAAAGCAGGTGCAATTCTATTTGCTGTTGGGTGGAGCAAGACTCTTGGGAGACACAGAAGGCCGAGTGATTCCAGTCCTAGCCAGAGATTAACTGCGTCAGCTAATCTAGAAACTTTAAACTCTGCTTAACGGTCATTTACTTAAATTTTATAGCAGTTGTTTTTGATGAAGTCTCCACTGTTTTCAGGGTCGCAGTTGAGAATAAACAGACCCTTCTCAGCAGCTGCCTGACTTGCACCCTAGAAAGATGAGCCTCTCCCTACCGTACTTAAGAGCTGTGCCAGGTTGGTTTCTGAGGCCTAGAGGTTTCTGGTGCCCAGAGGAGGTGGACCAGGAGTCCCCAATCAACACACCCCATGGAGTTCCACATGTGAAGGACATGAAGACCCAAGACCCCAATCAACACTACCTCATGGGCTTCCACATGTGAGAGAACTGAGGCACCAAGTCCCTTGGTTTCTACTCAGGTTTTAGGTCAGTTCCTTCCTCAGTAGAACTGTGTTCCCCAGTGGTGTTTGTGGAAACTCCCACATTCCCTTAGTTTATCACTCAGTGTATCCATTGAGCAGCTGCTACGCCCCAGGCATAATTATAGGCTCAGGAGACCTAGCATAACCAGAGACTGGAATCTGAGGCCCGCAGCCTGCTGCCAAACCAAAAGAAAGTGGAGACACTAGAATTAGTAAAGGGAGAAGGCTTTCTTTAGTTTGCTTTGAGGAGAGAGGGTCTCTCTCAGAACCAGACTGGTCTGAGCCCCCTCAGTCCTCCTGCCTCTCCCTCTGAAGTGCTGGATTATACGAGTGAGCCACCATACCCAGCTTGAAAGGGCTTATTTACAGGTTTGGCCAGAGTCCAAGAGAGAAAGTTTCCCATGGACTTGTCTGTAGCACTGCTAAAATTTTACAGAGAAGGTGAAACAAAAGCCAGGAGATAAGATGTGCATATGTAGGTTTAGCTGTGATATGTTACCAGAACTGTTGGTGTCTCTTGAGAGGGGGTCCCACTCCTGGTGCCAATGCTCTAGGGTACTGCCATTCTCAGAAGGGGACTTCCTGACTCTTGAGTCTTCCCTCAGGGTCCCTGTAACTCTAGCAGTGGATGGAACCACAGCAACCCAAGCCCCTTGCCCTGGTGGAGCGCATACTTACTGGAGGGCAACAATAAACACACACGCATGTGAAAACAGTGCTTGGTATGCGAAACGGAGAAATAATGATTTCAGGGTTCAGAGGGCACTTCCAGAAGTTTTCCAGTGTTTTGTTTTTGGAGACAGGGTCTCTCATGTATCAGAGTCTGTCCTCAAACTTGCTTTGTAGCCGAGGGCAAACTCTAGATCCTTCTGCTTCCTCCACCTCTTGAGTGCTGGGATTACAAGTGTGTCTGATCATATCTGGTTTATGCCCCTGAGGTGATTGAACCCAGGACTTTGTGCAATCTTGGCAAGCACCCTGTCAACTGAGCTACATCCCCAGCCCTAATTCCAGGTACTTGTGTCCTTGAACAAAGAATTGAGTGGAGATACAAAATTGCAGCGAAAGCAGATAGTTAAGGGGATAGTATGTTTCTAAGGGGGAGGAAGCAGGCTGGAGCTGAGAAAAAGCTCAGCAGCTCAAATGTCCCATGTTCACAAATGATGGGGCTTCATGTCACATAGCCAGGGCTTTTTGTCTTATTTGTATATTGTGGGCTTTCTCTTCAAATGCTCTAACTACATACAACTTAATGCATGGCATGTCTTTAGCATCTTAAGTTTTTATCCAAGAGTATGTTTACCAGTGGCACCAGCCAGTTTTCATTGGCCTCGGTGGTGGGAGGAGGGTTCCAGTCTTCTTCTCTGCCAACTATTTTTTTCCATATGCTAATTTTATAAGGCTTTGCACAAGGGCTTCTGGACCCCACTTTCCACCCTGTTCTCTTGCCTCAATAAAGCAAGGTGCAGGAGATAGAGTTGGGGTGGGGAAACTTGCAGTGTTATAAAGGAGTGTTATAGGCAGAGTGTGGAGGGTACCCGCTGAGACTTCCAGGTTCTTGTATACCAGAGCAAAAAATTGGGCCAGAGTCCCACCCATAGTGGTAGAGACAGTTTATTTAAGAAGAGAACATGGGGCTAGCAAGATGGCTCAGTGGTTAAGAGCAATTGGCTGCTCTTGCAGAGGACCCAGGTTCAGTTCCCAGCACGCACATGGTGTTTAGCAACCATCTGAAATGCCAATTTCAGGGAATCCAATGCCCTCTTCTGGTCTCTGCAGACATTGCAAAACACGAGTGCGCTTACATACATGCAGAGAAAACATATAAAATATAAATATGAATAAACAAATACATTTTTTAAAAAAGAGAATGTTGTGGAAAAATTTCTTTAAACAGTTAACCGACCAAGCCTCTACACAGAAGGCAGTCAGAAAGCTTGTTGATTCTCTTCTCATGCATGAGGTCCCAGAATTAGCAAAGGCTTCAAGATTTTCTGGACCTCCAACAGAAGTACAGTTAGGGATTAAATAGACATTTTTACAGCATCATTTTATGGCTGACACCTGGGCCCTGTGTTTCTTTTCATGATGGGCCATGTTATCTCAGGAAAATTCCTTCCTGAGTTCACTCAGTCATCATAGCTTACAAAGTAGATATACAAGGTGTGGGGCAGGACATCTGCTGCCTTTTGATCTATAGCTAGGCCAGGCTAATTCAACCAGAAGGTTATTGCAGTTTACAAAAACAATTATCACAGGCAGAAGTTGAGATATTTGAAATGTTGATCAACTTTTCTTGAATTAATTGGACCAGGTGGTTTAATTGATTAACCCATTTGGTGAACTTTCCATTCTCTTAGTTTCACACTTTTGTCAATAGACATAGCGAATAGAAAACATCACAGAAGCAATAAAACATAGTTAAGCATCCCAGGGTTACATTTCAAGGTATCTACCTAGTAAGGAAAATAAAGGAAATCCAAAATAGTCTTAGCTTAAAAGAAGATTATAAAGGAATCTAGAGTTATAAAAATATTAACTTCTCCTTATCAAGAATACTCCAGAGTGTTGATGTAGGCCAATAAGCTGGGAAAGGTCTGAGGCTCAAAGGCCCTGAGGAGAGAGTCATGACCCTTTAGGAGTCATTTGCATAACACCTGCCTTTCACACATTGTAGATTTTCTTGCTCAAGCTCTGGCCCTTACTTGTAGCCCTGGTGGGGAGCCATTTCTAGTCTTTCTGCCCACTGACTTCTTTCATGTTAATAATCTTGATGCCCCTCTCTCCACTTTATTCCCCTGTCTCAGGAGGACCAAGGAGGGCCTTGCTGAGGAGGTGACATTTGACAGAGACTCAGAAGAGGTGAGGGAGTGAGCCAGAGGAGAGGGGGCATGATGGTTGGACTAGAGAGTTCTTCAGGCCCTTGGACCCCTGATCATTGAAGTTTTTGGAAGAAGCACCCTTTGTGTTAGAATGTGTGAGTCGCCAGGCTCTGAGCAGCCTCTGCCTCCTCCCACCTGTTTATCTTGTTTCTTTTTGCCCTCCTGCAGGATTGTCAGCATGCATTGCTTCCTGGTGCCCCGGCTGCTTTCCCTGATGGGCAGGACAGCCTTGTATTCCACAGCAGCCTCTCTCCCAAGCCCCATTCTGAACCCAGACATCCGTTATAGTCAGCTGTTCATTAACAATGAGTGGCGAGATGCGGTCAGCAAAAAGACCTTCCCCACAGTGAACCCTACCACGGGTGAGGTCATCGGACATGTGGCTGAAGGTGACCGGGCAGATGTGGACCTGGCCGTGAAAGCAGCCCGGGAGGCCTTCAGCCTGGGGTCCCCATGGCGCCGGATGGATGCCTCTGAGCGAGGCTGGCTGCTGAACCGCTTGGCTGACCTCGTGGAGCGGGATCGTGTATACTTGGCCTCGCTGGAGACCTTGGATAACGGGAAGCCTTTCCAGGAGTCTTATGCCTTGGACCTGGATGAGGTGATCAAGGTGTACCGTTACTTTGCTGGCTGGGCTGACAAGTGGCATGGTAAGACCATCCCAATGGATGGTAAGCATTTTTGTTTCACCAGGCATGAGCCCGTGGGCGTCTGTGGCCAGATAATCCCCTGGAACTTCCCATTGGTCATGCAAGGCTGGAAGCTTGCCCCAGCCCTTGCCACAGGCAATACCGTGGTCATGAAGGTGGCAGAGCAGACCCCACTCTCTGCCTTATACTTGGCCTCCCTCATCAAGGAGGCGGGCTTTCCCCCAGGGGTGGTGAATATCATCACAGGCTATGGCCCCACAGCAGGAGCAGCGATCGCCCAGCATATGGATGTGGATAAAGTCGCCTTCACAGGCTCCACTGAGGTGGGCCACCTGATCCAGAAGGCTGCTGGTGATTCTAACCTCAAGAGAGTCACCCTGGAGCTGGGTGGGAAGAGCCCCAGCATTGTGCTGGCAGATGCAGACATGGGTCATGCTGTGGACCAGTGTCACGAAGCCCTTTTCTTCAACATGGGCCAGTGCTGCTGTGCAGGCTCCCGGACCTTTGTGGAAGAATCTATCTATGATGAGTTTCTTGAGAGAACTGTGGAGAAAGCCAAGCAGAGAAAAGTGGGGAACCCCTTTGAGTTGGACACCCAACAGGGGCCCCAGGTGGACAAAGAGCAGTTCGAACGCATCCTGGGCTACATCCAGCTTGGCCAAAAGGAGGGGGCAAAACTTCTGTGCGGTGGGGAGCGTTTTGGGGAGTGTGGCTTCTTCATCAAGCCCACAGTTTTTGGGGGTGTGCAGGATGACATGAGGATTGCCAAGGAGGAGATCTTCGGGCCTGTGCAGCCCCTGTTCAAGTTCAAGAAGATCGAGGAGGTGATTGAGAGGGCCAACAACACCAGGTATGGCCTGGCTGCTGCTGTGTTCACTCGAGACCTGGACAAGGCCTTGTACTTCACCCAGGCCCTGCAAGCCGGGACGGTGTGGGTAAACACCTACAACATTGTTACCTGCCATACTCCATTCGGAGGCTTTAAGGAATCTGGCAATGGGAGGGAGCTGGGGGAGGATGGGCTTAGAGCCTACACGGAGGTGAAAACAGTCACCATCAAGGTTCCTGAGAAGAACTCCTGAGCACAGCCACCCTGAAGGCCCAGTCCAGTCCTGCAGTTCCACAACTGTCCAGCCAGTGAATGGCAAACCTTGATTTTAGACAGAGTTCCAAACGAACTGTTAGAAGGAACTTGAGCAAATAAAATGATTCAACCAGATCTGTTCTAGTTAAAGCAGAAATGGTGGCAGGCCGACCTCTGCCCACCTCTTCCCCAGTCCTGGCCTCACTTCCTTCAGATTTCTTCAAGAGACCTTAGGAGTTTCCAGAAGGCCCATTAAAAGCCACTGCTTCTTCAGCTATAAGAAGGAATGAAATATGGGCACAAGCACAACATGAATGAGCCTCAGAAACAGCGTGTTAAGTAAAAGAAGCCAGCCACACGTTGTCCAGACAAGGCATATTCATAGAAGGGGCTACGGGGTCGGGGAATGGGGAATGGTTTATGTATATGGGGCTCTTCTTGGGGAGGTTTCGAAAATGTTTTGGAATTGGATATATCTGAACCAGTTTGCAAATGTACTAATTTTCCACTGAATTGAACACTTAATTATGATATGTGAATTAATTTCATTTTAAAATTAAAATAAGTGCAGCATTCTATTTGCAAATCTGTCTCAATATTTTCTTGCTGCTGAGTAGTCTACAGTCTCAGGGCAAGATGGGACTCAGGTGTGATTTAACCCCTTGCATTCAACATTTCTGTGCTTATTTTTGTTTCCTCTTGGCTGATAAAGTGCAAAGACCTATGGAGACACCCTATCATTCTCACCCCAAACAAGTCTACATCATTTAGGTACTTCCACTGGTACCCTCCCAACCTCTGCCAAACCTCCACAGACCACAAACCTAGCCCAGTACCAGAAGGTTTCTAGTGTTGACCCTTAGAGTTCACTGTGTTTACTGTTTCTCTTGCTGTTTTCATTCCCCAAGTGATGGTAGTCAAGGCAAATCCAAGCCTGTCAGGTCAGGTCAGAGGCAGATGCCGGGCCTGTCTCCTTGTTATTGTTCTAGATCCTAGCCCATACAAATCACTCTAAGTTTAAGTCTGCTCCCTCTGGTGAGTGCTCTACCCTGGTCATCTCTTCACCATCCCAGCATCAATGATTTTATTCATTATCTTGCTTTTGAGGTTTTTTTGGGGGGCGGGGGTTGTTTTTAGGCTAAGTCTCTCATAGCCCATGCTGGCTTCAACTCATTATGTAGCCAAAGATGACTTTGAACTTCTGATCCTCCTCTACTTGTGAGTGCTAGAACCACAGTCAGCTTTATATGGTGCTGAGGATTGAACCCAGGGTCTTGTGCATGCCAGGCAAGCACTCTACTAATTGAGGAACATCCTCAGCCCTTGTTCATTATCTTAACTTGGGTTTGGCCTGAAGCTTCTTCCTGAGGGTTGTGAGTTTGTTTGGGTTCCTCATCTCCCTTCCTAGAATCCCCTTCCTCCACCACTTCTCTAAGGCTGACATGACCCTGACTCTCTACCAGAGTTTGCCCTCCATGCAGTTCTCTTAGGGGCTTTGGCACCCCAACCCCTGCCTCACAGTTCTCATTTCTTACTGGGATGGTTAATCTTCCTTGTCAGCTTGGATTGCCTAAGAGGTAAATCTGAAAGATGTTTGACAAGGATAGAAGACCTGCTGTACACATAGTTGGTACCATTCCATGGCCTGGGCATCTAGATTAAATAAAAAACGAAAAATGAAAAAGCCCTAATGAGCATTATTATCCATCTCTTCTTTCTGAGAAAGTGTAACCAGCCACTGCACACTCCCACCTGCCCTGCCTTTCCTGCCATGATAGACTGTATCCCCTCAAACTGTGAGCCAGAACAAATCCTTTTTCCCTTAAGTTGATTCTTCTCAAGTGTTTGGTGTCAGAAACAAGAAAACTATTTTTGGACACACAGACTGGGGAGATAGGAGTGGGTAAATATCTCAAATTACAATTTATTTTTTTGAAACAGGGTCTTCCTGTAGCCCCAGCTGGCCTGGAACTCACAGAGATCCACCTGCTTCTGCTTCCCAAGTGCTGGGACTACAGGTGTATGCCACTATGCCTGGCTTCAAATCACAATATTTTAACAGATCCTTTTAAAATTAGATTCTTAGTACGTCTAAACCAGACAGTAACTTTGTAGCAGGTATCCCTCTGTGAGATGGGATTGGGAAAAGACAATCCTCAAAGTCCCATATTTCAAGCCCTGATATTCTGAGACTGAAGACTTTGTCAGGCTCTTCATCTGCTCAGTCCTTAAGGCTCACCCCTCTCCTGTTACCATGGCTCTCAATGCTGGCTTGCAAGCTAGGGAGGTGTCCCTCGGCATCATCCTTGAATCTTGGGGTCCACAAGCATGAGCTGTATGCTGTACTTTGGGGATAACCTAGGCATCCACCCTTCCCACAAACTTTTGCAATGCTCATGCTTGGTCAGGCATCATGTCAGGCACCTTGACATGTGACAAAATCCTGTAACACAGATAGTTGATTTGTCTTTTATTTTTTCAGCAAACAAATGGAAGTAGAGGTTTATTGTTCTCTATCTATTTTTTTATTTATGTGTATGTGTGTGTGCCTTGTATGTACAGGTAACCACAGAGGCCAGAGAGGGCATCAGATCCCCTGGAACTACAGGAGGTTGTAAGCTTCCTAATGTGGGTGATAGGAACTGAACTTGGGTCCTCCGGAGGAGCAGGAAGTGTTCCTAACTGCCCTGAGAGGTTTAATAAGCAGCTTTTAAAGCCAGTTTTCCAGGAGCATGCCCTAGGGGCCAAAGAGGTGGTACACCAAGGAGCCCATCTAATCAAGCCTCTAAACCCAAGCAGGTAGACCCCAACCCACCGCATGCTCTATAAGTCTAGTGGACCCTGTTCCGTGCTGTTTAGTCATACTTGTTCCCCGATCAGATCTGAGGCCCAGAGGAACTTTCAGTTGGGTTAGCACCATTTTGGACAAGATTGACCTCTGGTGGTCCCCACATTTATTGATTTGCTCAGATCATTCATTGGTTTAACGGGGGGAGGGGGAGGGGTCCTGGCTGTAAGTGGATTGCTGAGGAAAGAGAACTGAATGAGACAGTCTCTGCCTAGCAGGAGCTCAGTGTCTTCAGGCAGACAATTACAGGCAGGCAAGTTGACAAGTAGATGTGCAGAGGCCACAAGGTCACCCAAGGAAAGGAATATATTAAGTGCCCACAAGGTACCACCTCATCTAAAGCTCCCATTCACCCTTGAGGGCTTAGAATGGTAATTCCTCATTCTGTAAGTATGGAGCCCTGGGGATGCAGCTAAGCATCTGCTAAGCAGCTAAGCAGAGCCAGAACTCCAACCTGGGGGTCCCTCCTTTTCTCTTCCAGCCACACTCTGTTCAGCACCAGGGCAAGGTCCAGTGGGAATAGGACACAGGATCCCGCTGGATGGGAAGGATGTGACAAGACCAACTGCCAGGCTGGAGAAGTAGGAAAGGGCTGGAGCATTCTACTCTCTACCCTGCAAGGAAGCTCACACTGTGTCCCCAGTAGCAAGCCTTGAGTCTTAAAGGGATAGGCTCACATTCAAATTCCAAAGGCAGCTCTGCCTCCATGTGGCTGACTGACTGGGGGTAGACCTTGTAGAATACTGCTGCTCTGCCCACCATGACGCTAGCTTGAACAAGGTGTACAGTGGTAGGAGATTCTGGCCAGCCATAAAGCCAGCTAAGGTAACAGATTGGCCTAAGAAGAGAGTCAAAGTTACTCTGTGAAAAGGAGTCTCAGGGTTGAGGATATAGTTCAGCTGGTAGAGTGCTTGCCTAGCATTCATGAAACCCTGGTTTGAGCCCCATTACTACATAAAAATCACATACCTGTAGTTCAAGCACTCTGTAGGTGGAGGCAGGAAGATGGCTATATATCAAGTTTGAGGTCGTCCTAGGCTACAAGAGAATCTGTCTTAGGAAAAAACAAAATGGGAACCTTGAGGGAAGAGCAGGTTGAGGGAGAAGTGATGAGTTTGTCTATTCATTTATTCACATTTTATTAGGTGTTCACTGTGTACCAGGAATTGTGCTAGATACTGGGGATACAGCAGAGAACCAAACAAAAATCATATATAGCCTGACTGACAGAGGAGGGACACATAAGCAAAGTACATGCAACACAGTCATCCCCCAGTATCCACAGGACACTGATTCCCGGTCCCCTGTGGATAGTCAATCAGAAGCTGCTCAAGTCCCTTATACCAGGGTGTAGGATTTGTGTCGAGCCTTCACTCAGCCCCCATATATGATGACCACAATGATGGGCACCATGGGAACTCTTAACTGTGAAGACCAAGCACATCTCAGCCCTGGAGGCCATTGAGGCAGTGCTCACAGGCAGAAGTCAGCTCACTGAGCCAGTGTAGGCAAACATAGCTCTGGGCTCCACGTCCTGAATTCATTAAGTTGTAGACACCAGAGCAATGTGGTTAGCCTTAATTAATTAAAATATCACATAATAACTATTCTCTGATTTAACGTTCCTGAGGCCCTGGCGAAGGCTGGGAATGAGGAAATTCATTAGTGGAGACTGTTCACTATCACTTGACTTGCTGGTTTTGATTCATCTGGCCTACATCCTCCATTTCTGTGGGGAGGGGACAGAAATATTTTCTAAAGACATTGGAATTCATTTCACCGAAAAACCTGAAGGAAAAATATCCACCTTACTATAAACCAGCCCTTTCATAGTTTAAGATAAAAACCTGTTGGGGAACCCTGTTGCTAGGGTTGTAGTCCTCCATGTCTGGATAGCTCTAAGGGGCTTGGCGCTATATGGAAGGACTCCCCTTCTCAGCGGGGGGCCTCCTGCTCTCTGCCTGACTTACCTGGAAAGTGCTACCAAGTACGGATGCCTGACCTTATTTGGAACATGACCTTTGGCATAGTTACCTGGAGTAAAAACTACCCCCAGTTTTTTTCTATATGATAATTAGGCATTGCCCGATAGTCAGATGATAGGAACCTACTGCCAACATGTAAATAAAGCATACTATAAACACCTATCGGCTAAAGCATTGGCTACTGCCTCCACACTATTTTCCCTAACCCCCACTGAATAAACAAAGCTGTTTAACTGAGTCTAGAGCTGTTTGTATCACTGAACCTGCCTCCCCAGAAGGGCTTTCTTCCGTCAGTGCTCACTGGCCGTCCTGACCCCGTTCGTCGCTTCTGCTCCCTTTGTCTTCATGGACTGGTGGCCAACGGACCCACGAGGAGAGGGAGAGACCCCATAGCTGGCGCCCAAACGTGAGGCTCCTGGAACGCACAGAGTTTGTGAGTATCCCCTCTCTTCAAGAGGGTAGCAGCAGCTTTGCCTTAAGCCGTCCCACCCTTGAGGATGGGCAGTCTCTCTTCTTTTTCCTCCTTTTATTTTCGGTCCAAGTCTTTGCATGGGACTGTTAAAGACAAAGGAGCAATTGAGGCTCTCTGATCAGGGCTACCCCCTGATGTTAGCCAAAGGCTCTTAGCCCTCTTAACAGACCCTGACTGCCAGCATGGGTGTAGACAAGACTCCCCCTATCTATACATCTTTCTAATGCAGGCTTGCGCTGTGGACTCCGTGGAATTCCCTGAGGTTTGATCCCA